GAGGTCACGATAAAGATGTAGGGATTTCTATGAATAGAGATTCAATTTCATGTTCTGAGTTTAAAATAAGGTCTTTTCTTTCTAAAAAATTCCAAATCTTCACGATAAAAAGGGACACTCCGCCACCTACTTTATTAGACCTACAGTGGTGAAGTGAAACGTTATTTTGTAAGTCATACAGCTGTGAAATATCTTCCGTAAGCCACGTCTCAGTCAGACCAATTACGGAGAAATCATGTTTAACCCTAAACAGTACACCTGGGGTCCGCGCGGACCCCAGCACTATATATTCTGTAATATCTTTTTTGTTTCTAAAGATTTTTTCTGAAATTTTAGGTAATTGTCACCCACAAAGTTGTATCTCAATACAGTGCAGAAAACTCCGTTTCTACCATTTATAAAAAAAATTATATCTGGTTTTCTTTTGGGGTCCGCGCGGACCCCAGCCGGCTTTCGATCATAATGGATACACTGGCGTTCTTATACATGACCTTATTTCCGTTTTTATATGTTTTTATGCACTCATCGTATGTCTACCAAGTTTTCAGAGAATGGTGTAGTAACAGAATTAAATTTTAATAACTTTGGTGTAATTATGACGTCATATGACGTCAGAGCTAATAATATAGTCCGCCATATTGGATTTTGACCAATGACGTCATCAAATTAGCATATTCTATGCATATTAAATGATTTAACTTATATTTAATTATGTAAGATGTTATTAATGTTGGAAAAGAAGTGTAATTTAATATAAAACTCGGAAAATTTTTATGTTTAAACCAAAATTACTTCTATTTTCAAAAAAACTACCTGCTAGAAACCCGTTGCCATGGCAACACAAAAAAACATCAACTTACTAGTATTAAACTAAAATGAACTTTTCTCCAGAGACATTTTAGGAAAGGTCTCCAAATTTGATACTGCTAGCGCAAGCCGTTTAGCCGCTATCTGAGGTCAAAGTTGGGCCTCATAATTCATAAGCCCCTTCAGTCTGAAATGGGTTTAAAAATCGGGTATTTCTTCTTGTCTTCTTTTCTTCACCAAAAAATAGAAAAAGTTCAAAATGTTTGATTTTTGTATGTAATGTGGACACAGAGGTTCCCACATCAGTTTGCAAAACAATTGAGCTGGTAGCATGTTGATAATTTCTAAAAATTAGCAAAAAACTGTTCTGGGGTCCGCGCGGACCCCAGGTGTACAGATTAATCAGTCCGGGAAGGTGTACTGTTGAGGGTTAATACGTTTTACCTGGTCTGGTGGGGTGCGTAGCGTCGGGTGTGTTTTCACTGTCGTTTGCACGTGCCTGGTGATCTGTCTGGGGTTGGTCAATGGGTGGGTCAATGGGTGGGTCGTCTGGACGAAAAAAAAGCAAAGATGTAATATAGTCATTTGTGAAAAATATTGGGCCTTACATACACGAAAACAAGGTGAGTGATATACCTGAAAAGCAAAGTTCAGAAAAGTGTTTAGAAAATTGATAATGGGAACTATTTTCGTATATTATTGATATGATTTTTGCTAATCGACACTTTTCGGCCCGTCTCCATTTGGGAAGATATGACATCAGCATTATAGGCTAGGTAAAGAAATAGTTCCTCAGACATGCATCTTAACAGTGGTTTCTTTTGAGATCAAAATAAGGTTTTTGGCATATTACGTAACTGTGGATTACTCTTGACACTACTTCTTAAAGTTCTGCACGAAAAACCACCCAAGTACGCGAAGTGTCACAGACCAATCACGGTTACTACCTTAAAAAAATACCCAGCTTTAGTGAGGTTACAATCACAAAGGAATAAAAAAACAGAAGGCAAGAAAAGAGAGAAACTTAAAACGTTTTACCTGGTATGGCGGCGTACGTGGCGTCAGGTGTGTTTTCATTGTCCTTCGCACGTGCCTGGTAATCAGTCTGGGGTTGGTCAATGGGTGGGTCGTCTGGACGAGAAAAAAGCAAAAATGTAATATAGTCATTTGTGAAAAATATTGGTCCTAATATACACAAAAACAAGGTGAGTGATATACCTGAAAAGCAAAGTTCAGAAAAGTTTTTAGAAATTTGATAATGGGAACTATTTGCGTAAATTATTGATATGATTTTTGCTAATCGACACTTTTTGGCCCGTCTCCATTTGGAAAGATGACATCAGCATTATAGGCTAGGTAAAGAAATAGTTCCTCAGACATGCATCTTAACAGTGGTTTCCTTCTCGGTTGGGTTAAGGCGGCCTAGGCTGATATTCATGTTCGAGTTCCGCCGTGTGTCTGCACGATTGCCACAAACATGTTTCGAACCCGAATCATGTTCCACCATGTTCGATATGACGTCATTCGAATAGAACGTGTGTTCGAATTCGGGGTTACCGGCGGTCATTTGTATGTTTCCCCTGTAAACCCGCGTTGTTACGCATTTTATTCACGGAGTATGACTTAAACGGCTTTACGCCCAGCTGAAAACAACATAATTCATCTTTAGAGTAATCCATGTTTACGTATTATCACTTTTTTATCAAAATTGTCCGAGGCTATTTTGCATATAAGTCGAAATTTTTTAACTGTGGCGATTATTTAACAAAAAATGACAGAAAAATAGCCGTTTCTGTCGTTTTTGGCCCAAAAAAACAATGTAACTGTCATTTAA